GGCGAGGGCCGCGGCGACGGCGCCCGACGCCCGCAGCGTGAACGCCGGCACGCAGGAGTCGAGGGACTCGTTGGGGCTCACGATGCCGATGCGCTCCCGTTTCTCGCCCTCTGCGCTCATGGTCTGGTTCGCGGGCTTCTCCGGATTGGTCGGCGGCCCGCCGCGCGGCGCCGCGGGTGGCCTATTTGCCAACCCAGCTTCGTGTGGCGAAGCGCGCTTGAGCTCATGGTTGAACACCAAGTTGGAGCTTGGGTGCCGTCGCGGGGGCCCGCCTTCCTTGTGCCCCCATTTTCCGACGCACTAACATATCCCGCCGGTCATGGTCGACGCGTCGCCCCACGGCGGCGCGGCGGCCGGCGGCGTCGCGCGGTCCCAGCCGCTCGTGCCCGCGGCGGCCGCCTTCGCCGCGGGCGACGGCGCGCACGCGCCCGCGGCGCTCGCGGCGGGCCGCGAACCACTCAGAGACCCTAGGAGAAGTGCGTCGCCAAGAAGTAGGAGGAGGCCCCTCATCACGATAAGATTTAGATCGCGTCCACAGCGGCCGCCCTAGAGGTCGTCCCCCTTGCCAAGGGCCTTGCCAGTGGCACGCCCCGACGGCGCGAACCGCCGGGCTTGGTGCACGCGCGATGCGCCTGCTTACGAGGCGCGCCCCCGGGAGGGGATCTTGGGCGGGGTGAAGGGGCGGGCCCTAGCCGATGGCGATGGCCTCCATGTTCGCCTCCATGGCGAAGAGGGCGGACTTGGAGGAGACCTTGCGGACGCCGCGGCGCGCGCCGAGCGTCGCGGAGGACCCCGTCCGTCTCATGCCCTTGGCGAGGCCCGCGAGGTTCGACTCGCTCTTGCTCGCGCTCGACTTGCTCATGGAGTCGAGGAGCGCGACGGCGTCGTCGAGCGTGCGCGCCTCGTCGACGTCGACGTCGCGGTTGGTGTTGCGGGGGACGTCGCGCATGTCGTCGCCGTCGGGGAAGACGACGTCGCGCGAGCCCCGGGGCGACGACGATTTCTGCGCCGCCGCGGCCGCGGCGGCGGCGGCCTTGTCGCGCTTGCGCTGGGCCTTGCAGGCCTCCTCCATGAGCGCCATGCCGAGCAGATCGTCCGCGGACTGCGACTTCTTCTGCAGCTTGCGGTTGACGATGCGCGGCGCGTCCCCCGTGAGCTCCGACTCGGCGCGCAGCGCACTGAGCTTCAGGTCGTCCCGCGCGTCCTTCTGCCGCGCCCTGGCCTCGGCCTCCGCGTCGCGCTGCTGCCGCCGGTTGTCGGCGCCGACGCTCCAGGCCGCGGCGAGGACCTGCTCCGTCGCGCGCGCCTCCTCCTCCGCCTTGCGCGCGTTGGCGTTGGACCGCAGCTGCTGGCGCTTCGCCACGCTGCCGGCGTTGACGCGGCGCACCTCCTTGAGCACCATCTTTTTGCTTCAGAATCAAGGCGCTCTCTCTCACAAGGGCTCGACGCACGGATGACCAGGGTTTCACCGCAGCAACGATCGGTCAACAAAGCAAGTGCGACTGTATGGGGCGCTCAGGCAGCTGATGCAACCACTCCCGACGTTTAAGCTCCCGGCCGAACGAAGCTGACGACGGACGAGGTTCAAGGGAGAGCCAGAGCTCCTTGACGTCGTCACTTTGGGATCGGCCTTGGCAGTCCTTGGCAAAGCCAAAGTTTTGCCACTCCCGGTTTTTGCAGTCGATCAAAAAACGAGCGCCCTCTCGTTGGGCAGGGCTGGCCGCCGCGACCGCCGCCTTTAGACGTGCCACCACCGCCGCCGTCGCCGAGGCTCGACCTACGAAACCGCTGCGAGCCCTCCGGCCGGCCGTCGACGCGCCGCGAGCCCGCGAGCCCGCCGCGCCGGTGCGCCGATGGGCGCGCTCGTGTCGGCGCTGGCCTTTCCCGTGCCGCGGCTCCCCTTCGCGTTCTACAACGAGGAGCTGCTGCGGCGCGACGACCTCGTCTGGCTCTACACGTCGAAGCGCGAGAAGATCCCCGCCTGCCACGTCAAGGCGAGCAAGCGGTCCGTCGCCGACAAGCCGCCCGGCGAGGGCCTCACGATCCTCTACAGCCACGGCAACGCGGAGGACCTGGGCCTCCACCTGCCCTTCATCGACGCGCTCGCGCGGGCGACGGGCGCCGACGTCTTTAGCTACGAGTACGTGGGCTACTCGCTGAGCCGCTTCGCGAATTTGTCGCCCGACGAGGACGGCTGCTACCGGTCGATCGACGCGGCGTGGATCTACCTCACGGAGACGCTGAACATCCCCGCGAACCGCATCGTCGTCTACGGCCGGTCCATCGGCACGGGGCCCTCCGTGGATTTGGTCGCGCGGACGGCCCTCAAGTCCGGCAAGGCGGCGGCGCAGCCGCCGCGCGGCGCGCTCGGGCTCCTGCTCCAGTCGCCGCTCGAGTCGGCGATCCGCTGCGCGCTGGGCTACGGCTCGTCGCTCTCCATGTACCCGCTGGACATCTTCAAGAACTACGAGAAGATCGAAAACGTCGTCTGCAAGGCCGCGATCATCCACGGCACGTCGGACAACGTCGTGCCCTGCAAGGGCGGCGTCGCGCTCCACGACGCGCTCCAGAACCCCTACGAGCCCTGCTGGCTCGAGGGCTACGGGCACAACAACATGCCCTACGACCGCGTCTTCCTCTACGCGCGCTGCTTCCTCGGCGAGCTCAACAAGGTCCGGCGCAACGCGGAGCGGGAGCAGGGCAAGCCCGTCGTCGAGCTCTTCCAGAAGGCGGGCTCGGCCTGATAGTGGAGGGATCATCGATTCGGACGTTTATAGGAGATTCGTTTTCGCGCGGCCTACGCCGGGCACCACTCCGCGCGGTCGCTCAACGCGCGGACGGCCGCGGTCGCGCCGAAGAGGGGCGCGTCCTCTTCGCCGTAGCGCTCGGCGACGGCGCCGCAGAACTCGCCGCCCGCGGCGCACTGCGTGCACACCGCGCGCCGCGCGCACTCGCGGTCGTCCGACGAGGCGCCGGCGCCCGCGAGGTCGTCCGGCGGCGAGAAGGCGAAGGAGCCGTCGCAGACGTCGGGGAGCCGCGCCACGGCCTGCCAGAGGCACGGCAGCGCGCCCCCGGCGCCGGGGTCGTCGCACGCGCCCGCGCACGCGCCGGAGGGCTCGACGAAGAGCTTCCGCAGAGCTTCCGCGCGCGGCGACGGGTCGTCCTCGACCTTCTTCGGCGCGCAAAAGGTCTCGTAGTCGTGGGCCGCGCAGGCCGCGTACGGCGGCGCGAGGGCCGCGTCGAAGCCGTCGCAGAAGTCGTCGAGCGCGGACCACGCGGACGCGTCGGCGCGGTGGTGCTCCGCGGCGCCGCCGCGGCGCTCGTAGGCGACGTAGACGACGGCGACGGCGAGGCAGTAGAGCGGGAGCAGCTTGAAACCCGACCAGTCGAAGGGGGGGAGGCTGACGGGCCGGCGGCGCGCCTCGTCGACGCCGCCGTAGTAGTTTGTCGAGGAGGCTTTTTCCATGGCGTCGAGCTGGCTCTTATCCAGGGCGTCGAGCTCGGCGCGGATCTCGCCGACCTTCATTGTTTATATGCGAACGTCGGCCGTGGCTTCTACGCGCCCTGAACAGAAGTTGAGGCGCGCTGGCGTCGATCGAAACGAGTTCTCTCTCTGCCACACCTCGATTTTTGATCGCGAACGTCAACAACATAGAGGCGCCGCCCCTCGCCACCCTCACGACCAACCTCCGCCGCGACGGCTAGGGGGCGGCCTCCGGCCGCCACCTGGCTCGGCTCGCCGAGGTACCCCACGAACCCCCCTGGATAAGCCACCTCTCAATAACATAGAGCTACAGACGCGACGTAGGTGCGTGCGGGGTGATCACTCCCCAAGGTCCTAGAAGAGCATAGTTTATAAAGCAAATTTGGACGCGATCTTGGTCGACTGCGCCGTCGGCATCGCCGCGAGCATCTGCTTAAATTCTTGGCACTTCGGCACGCGACACGCACCCGGCGCCGCGGCGCAGTGCACCGCGTGCAGCTGGAGAACGCCATACGCTTGCCGGCACAGCATGCACCCAGAGATCGGCCTCGTCTTGCACATGAGCGCATGCATGAGGATCTTCTTCATTTTCACGCAGTTCGTCGAGTCGCACCCGGCGCACTTCGTCGCGTGTGCGAGCAACATGAGCGCGGACCGTAGCTTTTGCGATTTAACCGCGTCGTCGTCTCCGTCGTCGTCGACGCTGATGACCTCGCCCTCTCCGCGAATCGCGCGGTCGCGGGCCTCGGCCTCGCGCTGGGCCAGCGTCGACGTCCCCAGCATCTCGAAGCCGTCGGAGTCGTCGCCGTCGTCCGTCGCGGCGGGACCGGCGGCGGCGGCCGCGTCGCGCGTCTCGCGGTCGCGGACCAGCGCCGCGCTGCTCTGGGGGAGCGTCTTGTAGAGGCCGCTCTCGTCGTGGAGGAACGTCGTCAGGCAACAAATCACGGCCTGCTCCCAGTAGCTCTCCGCCGACAGGAGTCCTCGCGTGAGCTTCGCGACGACGCCCGAGCGTTCCGAGTCCTTCATCGCGACGTCGACGGCGGCTTCCAGACCGAGCGCGCCGTGGCCCGGCTCCTGGCCGCGGAGCAGCCGCGCGACGCGCGGCGGCAGGGGCACGGACGCCGTCCGCGCGTGGCTCTCGCGGCCGTCGCGCGACACGACGACGACCGAGCCGATTCGCTCCGCGCCGTCGCCGGCCGTGTCCGCGACGCCCGGGACCAAGCCGACGCCGTAGGACGCGATGGGATTCGCCGAGAGGGCGGCGTAGGCGGCCTTGACCGCGCCGACGCGCCGCATGGCGTCTCCGCTCAAGCCCTTGGCGGCCCAGGCGGCGGGCGGCGGACCGGTCGCTTCATCATGTCTCGAAATGATCGCTGTCTGTGTTGGGAACGCAGAGAAGAAGGCCTTTCGCACGGCGGCGACCTTCGTGGCATCGCTGGAGCCGACAGCGACGTGGAACAGTGAGTCCATCCTCGAGAGCGGACCGCCTGCTCTGGATTTGCAAATTTGGTCGTGGCGGTGACGGTCGCCGATTTGGAGATTTCGGAAGCGATGGCGCGGCGAGTGCGTCGAGCGCATAAATTACACTCACAACCCCGGCCCGCGCGCGTCCACGGGGACGACGGCCTCGACGACGCCGCCCCGGTGGCAGACCCAGTAGTCGTGGAGGTTGACGCAGGGGTCGCAGTGGCTCGGGAAGAGCTCGACGTGGTCGCCGCACGCGAGGTCCCCCGGGCCGTCGATGATGCCGTGCTCGTCGCCGCCGGAGCGGAAGGACCCGACGGCGAGCGTCGGCGCGCCGGACACGAGGTCCACGGCCTTGGAGCCCGCGTCGACGACCTGGGCAGCAAAAGGGTGATTCAACGTCGCTTCAACGTGAGTGTTCCGCGCGCGCGCGTTCCGGAAAAAGCATCTACGCTTCGAGACCGTTCCGAGAGATGATCGCTCGTCCAAAAATCAGCCGAAACGAGTGGAAAACGGCCGAGATATGAGCCTTTGAAGTTGGGAATTTCGCTCTCTTTTGCTGCCCTGTCGACGACGGCCCGGTCCGCCGTCGGCCGCGACACGACGGTCGCGCGCACCGCGAGGGACCGCTCGAAGGGCGCGTCGTCGTAGTCGTTGGCGAGGTAGTCGCCGTCCATGAGGCAGAAGGAGCCCGGCTGCACCTCCGTGTAGAGGCCGCTGTCGCGCTCGTAAGGGAACGTGCCCGTGCCGCCGCCCGTGACGACGTCGCAGCCGATGCCCGCGGCCTCCAGCGCCGCCAGCGTCGCCCGGACGCCGTCGCAGACGCCGCCGACTTTGGCTTTTCTCTCGTCGGTCTTGCGCACGTGCTGCAAGAGGCCGTGGTAGCAGTGCGCGCCTCTGAAGCGCAGGCCGTCCGCCGCGACCACGGTCGCCGCGAGGTCCGCGGCGGGCGCGCCGGGCCGCGTGCCGCAGCGGTTCTGGCCCACGTCGACCTCGACGTAGACGTCCAACGTTTTCGAAGAGCCCGCCACGGCCTGTTCCAGCGCGGCGACCTGCGCCGCGTCGTCGACGAGGACGCCCACGACCCCCGGCGCGGCGTCGAGCGCGGCGCGGAGCCGCCGCAGCTTGTCCGGCCCGACGACCTGGTTCGTGAGGAAGATGTCGTCGACGCCCGCGGCGACCATGGCCTCGAGTTCGCGCACGGTCTGGCAGCAGACGCCCGACGCGACGTCGCCCAGGATCGCGAGCTGCGCCCTCGCGAGGTAGCCGCTCTTGTGGGCCTTGGCGTGGGGCCGCGCCTTGACGCCCGTGTCCGCCAGCATGGCCTTGAGGGTCTCGCAGTTGCGCTCGAAGACGTCCATGTCCACGCAGAGCGCCGGCGTCGCCACGTCGCGCAACAGGGCGCCGGCGGACGCGGGCTTCGCGCTCAGCGCGCGCGCGCCGGCGAGGAGCGTCGTCGAGAGCAGGCGCGGCAGCGAGATCATGCGCATGGCGGAAATATGCGTCGATTGTGCGTCGAGTCGAGTTATTAGCGTCGATCTCTGGCGCATAGAAGAGCTTGCTCGCAACCCAGGGAACCCAGGGTTGTTGAGTTTGTCGTTGCTGTCGTTGCCGCCGTCGGGCTGCTCATCAACGATGGCCACCAAGCAGCGCCTCGATGTTGGCCCGTACGCCGACGGCGACGCGGCGGACTTCGCCAAGTTCGTGCTGCGCCTCAACGCGTCCATCGCCATGAGCGAGAAGGAGCGCCTGCTGCACGAGAAGGCGGCGGTCCGGCGGCAGCGAAACGACCTCGTCGCCGCCGAGGCGGCGTCGCGCCTCGCGGAGCGCGAGCGCGGCAAGGCGGCGCGCGTCGTCAACGACGGCGAGCGCCGCAAGGCGCGCGAGGCCGCGGCGGCGCGGGAAGCGGCGGCGGCGGCGGCGGCGCGCGAGGCCGCGGCGGCGCGGGAAGCGGCGGAGGCGACCGCGGCGCGCGAGGCCGCGGAGGCCGAGGCGCGCGAGGACGCGGCGCTCGCGGCGGCGTCGCTGCGCGCGCGCGAGGCCGAGGCGGCGTCGCACCGGCGGAGCGCCGAGGACGCGCGCGCCGAGGCCGCGGCCGCGCGGCGCCGCGAGCGGGCGCTCGAGACCCGCCTCGCGGCGCTCGAAGCGCGGCTCGACGCGCCGCCGCCGGTCCCGGACCCGGTCCCCGCCGCGCCGCAACCGCTCGCGGACGAGGCGCGGCGCGCGCTGCGGCGCGTCCGCGCGGCGCTCTCGATCGGCCCGCCGCGGCCCGCGTTCGAAGACGTCGCGATCGACGCGGCCGAGCCGCCGCGGCTCGCCCCTCCCGCGCTCGCGGCCGACGCCGCGCCGGCGCCGGCCGTCGACGTCTCCGAGGTGCCCGCGGCGTTCACGGCGCTCGTCGCCGAGGCCGTCGAGGCGCGCGTCGCCGCGCGCGACGCCGCGCGAAGCCGAGCGTACGGCGCCGCGCTCGCGGCCCTCGAGAGCGAGTGCGCCGCGGCGCTCCGGGCCGTGCTCGCGCAGCGCGACCCGCTCGAGCGGCTCGACGGCCAGGCGAGCCGGGACCTCGCGGAGGCGGAGCGAAGCGCCGCGGAGCGGCTCCGAGACCGGGAACACGAGGCCGCGCTCGCCGACGCGAAAGCCGCGCGCGCCGCGGAGCTCGACGCGTTAAAGGCGAGCCACGACGCGGCCCTCGCCGCAGCGGCCCGCCACGCGAAGCGCCTCGAGGCGGAGCTCGCGACGACGCGCGACCTGCTCGCGACGACGGCCCTGTCGCGGGACCGGGCCGTGCGGGACCTCGAGGAGCGGGACGCGTCGACGCTCCAGGACCGGCGCGAGGACGCGCTCATGGACGAGTCCGCGAAGCGCTTGGACGCGGATTTGAGGTCCCAGGTCGACGCGCTCCGCCGGGAGCGCGACGAGGCGCGCCTGGCCGCCGCGCAGCAGAAGAAGATCGCCGAGGTCGCGTCGTCGCGGCGCCGCGACCGCCTGCGGTCCAAGTCGCCGCGCGCGCGGCCGCCGGCGAAGCACGACAAGCACGACAAGCACGACTACGTCAAGGAGAACGCGCGGCACCACGCGCGGAAGCCACACATCCACGACGTCGAGAGCCACCACGTGCTCGAGACCGCCGCGCGACGCCGAGCGCGCGCCACCCCGCGCCCGCCGCCAAGCCCGAGCCTGGCACCGAGCGGTCCACGCCGCGCGGCACGTCGGCGTTCGCGGCGGCGGCGCACCGCCGGTCGTCGGACCCCTTCGTCTACGCGCGCCACGACTCGACGCCGGGCCCCGGCGCCTACGACCCCCACGCCATCGAGGGCCACGCGCCGACGCCGGACCTCGCGGACCACCACCGCGACGACGCGTCGTTCACGATGGAGGACGCGCGCGGGCCCGACGCGCCCGAGGCGGGCCACGAGGAGTACCACGACATCGCCAACTACCTCCGGTAAGAGAGGGTGGGCTTGCGGCGCGGCGGGGGGGCGGGGGCGAGCGCGACGGACTTCGTATGGCATTGACTGCGCGGGGGCGAGCTCGACGGACTTCGTAGGCATTGACTGCGCGGGGGCGAGCGCGACGGACTCCGTATGGCATTGACTGCCGGCAACATTCGATGCACCTGAGCCGGTCGAGCAGCAAGCACAGTCGCCTCGCCGGCGCCAAAGCTTGGACGACGCGCGTCGCTTGCTAGACGCGCCACACGGCGACGGAGGCGACGAGATGAGCGCGCCGCCGCCGCCCGGTGGCTACCAGCAGCCTCCGCGCGGCTACCAGCAGCCGCAGCAGATGCGCGCGGCGCCGCAGGGCTACGCGCCGCCGGGCGCGGCGCCTCAGGGCGGTTTCCAGGCCCCGCGGGCCATGGCGCCTCAGGCCCCGCGCGGCTACGCGGCGCCGCAGTCGGCGCCGCAGGCCCCGCGCGGCTACGCGGCGCCGCAGTCGCAGCAGGCCCCGCGCGGCTACGCGCAGCCGCAGCAGGCGCAGGCGCCGCGCGGCTACGCGGCGCCGCAGGGCCAGCAGGCGCCGCGCGGCTACGCGGCGCCCCAGGCCCCGCGCGGCTACGCGGCGCCGCAGTCGGCGCCGCAGGCCCCGCGCGGCTACGCGGCGCCGCAGCAGGCGCAGGCGCCGCGCGGCTACGCGGCGCCGCCGGGCCAGGCGGCGCCCGCGGCGCCCCGGGGCTACGCGGCGCCCCGCGGCGCGCCGCAGACCGCGCCGCAGGGCGGCTTCCGGCCGCCCGCGGCGCCCGCGGCGCCCGCGGCGCCCGCGAAGCCGGCGTTCCAGGCGCCGAAGCCCATGGCGCCGCCGGCGACGTACGCGGCCGGCGGCGCGGCGCCGCCGCGCGGCGCCGCGCCGGGCTCCTACGCGCCGCCCGGCGGCGCGCCGCCGGCGCCGCCGAAGACGTTCCAGGGCTACGCGCCGACGGGCGCCGCGCCGCCCGCGCAGCCGCCGACGGCCCAGTTCGGGTCCATGTCGGTGGGCGGCGGCCCGCCGCCGCCCGGCGGCGGCGCGCCGCCGCCGCCCGGCGGCGCGCCGAAGCCGCCCCAGACGTTCCAGGGCTACAGCCCCGCGGGCGCCCAGCAGCCGCAGCAGGCCGCCGCGCCGCCCGGCCCGCCCGGCGCGCCGCAGCCGCCGCAGCCGCCCGCGTCGTCGCAGCAGTTCCAGGGCTTCCAGCCCGGCGCGGGCCAGCCGGCGCCCGGCGCGGCGCCCGGCGCGGCTACACCGGCGGCGCCCGTCGTCATCGACGAGGCGGCCCAGTGCGACCCGCGCTTCATGCGCTGCACGGTGGGCAAGCTCGCGAACAGCGCGCAGACGGCCGCCGCGTCGAAAGTCCCCATCGGAATCGTCTGCCAGCCCATGGCGCTGGACACGGACCACGAGGCGCCGCTGGACGTGGTCAACTTCGGGTCCACGGGCATCGTGCGCTGCAAGAAGTGCCGCGCCTACGTGAACCCCTTCGTGTCCTGGGTCAACAACGGCCGCCAGTGGCGCTGCAACGTCTGCGGCTTCGTGAACGACGTGCCCAACTCCTACTTCTGCCAGCTCGACCCGGAGACGGGCGAGCGCCGCGACAAGCAGCAGCGGCCCGAGCTCTGCAAGGGGTCCGTGGAGCTCGTGGCGCCCGGCGAGTACATGGTGCGGCCGCCGCAGCCGCCGGTCTTCGTGTTCGTGATCGACGTGTCCGCGGGCGCGGTGGCCACGGGCATGCTCGGCGTCGTCGCGAAGACGATCCGCGCGTCGCTGGACGGTCTGCCGGGCGCGCCGCGGACCCAGGTCGCCGTGATCACCTTCGACGCGTCCGTCCACTTCTACAACCTGAAGGCGTCGCTGAGCCAGCCGCAGATGGTCTGCGTGCCGGACCTGTCGGACCTGTTCGTGCCCCTGCCGGACGACCTGCTGGTGAATTTGGCGGAGTCGCGGTCCGTGGTGGAAGCGCTGCTCGACGCGCTGCCGGCGATGCACTCGGCGTCGTCGCCGTCGTCCGCGTCCGCGCTCGGGCCGGCGTTGACGGCCGCGTACCGCGTCATGGGCCACGTCGGCGGCAAGCTCTGCGTCTTCCAGGCGGGCCTGCCGAACTGCGGCGAGGCGGCGCTCAAGATGCGCGAGAACCCGCGGGTCTACGGCACGGAGGGCGAGCGCGCTTTGCTCCACGCGGAGCCGTCGGGGCCCGGCCCCGACGCGGTGTCGTGGTACGAGACCAAGGCCGTGGAATTCAGCCGGCTCCAGATCTGCGTCGAGCTCTTCGTCGCCGCCCACACCTACGCGGACGTGGCGACGCTGGGGCTCTTGCCCAAGATCACGGCGGGCCAGCTCTACTTCTACCCGGGGTTCAAGGCGTCGCACGACGGCGAGAAGCTGGCCACGGAGCTCGCGCGCGCGCTCACGCGGCCCACGGGCTTCGAGGCCGTCATGCGCGTGCGCTGCACGCGGGGCCTGCGCGTCGCGGCCTTCCGGGGCAACTACTACATCCGGGGCCACGACCTGCTGGCTTTACCGAACTGCACGCCCGAGTCGGTCTTCGATTTGGAGATCGCGCACGACGACCAGCCGCTGACGGCGTCCGTGGCGTCCATCCAGGCGTCCCTGCTCTACACGACGTCCTCGGGCGAGCGGCGCATCCGCGTCCACACCATGGTCGCGCCCGTGTCCGGCGACGTCGGCGCGATCGCCGAGTCCGCGTCGGTGGACGCGTTGTGCAACGTCGTCGCGAAACGGGCCGTCGACGTGGCCCTCAAGCAGGGTTTGGAGGCGTCGCGCCAGAAGCTCCAGCAGCTCTGCGTGGACGTCGTCGGCGCCTGCCGCCACGCGGGGCAGCCCGGCGCCGCGGCGCCGGGCGCGGGGGGCATGCCGTACGCGCGCCGGCCCGGCGCGCCGGCCGCGCCCGCGGCGCCCGGCCCCAACGGCCAGGCCCAGCCCCCGAAGCTGCCGGAGTCGCTCCAGCTCCTGCCGCTCTACACCATGGCGCTCCTCAAGTCCGCGGCGTTCCGCGGCGGCGCGGACGTCCGCGCGGACGAGCGGTCGTACGTGCTCCAGAAGCTCGACAACATGTCGCCGGACCAGACGCGCTACTTCGTCTACCCGCGGTTGTTCGCCCTGCACCAGCTCCCGGCGGAGGCGGGCAAGCGGAGCGCGGCCGCCTTCGCGTTCCCGCCGCCCGCGAACCTCTCCGCGGAGAGCGTGAGCAGCGACGGCGTCTACCTCCTCGACGACTCGCTCGCGCTCGCCGTCTGGGTCGGCGCCGCGGCGAACCCCCAATTGCTCGAGGCGCTCTTCGCGCTGGACGAGGCGGGCGATGTCGCGCTGAAGCCGGACCCGCGCGACGACTCGCTGCTCGGCCGCGCGTGGGGCATCGTCGAGAAGCTCCGCGAGACGCGGCCGCCGACGCTCGCCATCTCCGTCTGCCGCGAGGGCGACCCGACGAAGCAGCCCGCCTTCTTCCGCCACCTCGTCGAGGACCACGCCAACTTCGCCGGGGGCCAGTTCTCCTACCAGGAGTTCATGGCCCACATCCAGCGCCACGCCTAGCGCCGAACCGCCGCGCGGCCCGGCGCCGGCCGCGCGCCCAAGTCCCCGAAGACGCCCGATCCCCCCCGCCCGCTCTTTTCCGGGCGGGCGCTAATGCGAATCTCCCCTGAGCCGACGGCGGAGGTTCACGAGCAGGTGAGCTCTGGACAGACTGGCAGGTGCTCGGCCCGCGAGCGGCGCTCGGGCGAGCGACCACTTCGATATCTGCGGCGCGCCCTGCTGGCACTGGCATCGATTGAGCTCGCGCCATGGCTGAAGCCACCGACGTAGAGGAGGACAACCCTAGAAAACTACGAACGCCCAATTCGCGCTCGAGCGTGGACCTCTCCCTCTCGCCGGACGATCAGATCTTCGATCAATTCTTTCTCCATGAAAAGGGCGACCGCGAGACGGTGCGCCTTCTGATGCGCGGAACCGCGCGAGTCGTATCAAATTTCTCGTCGTGGGTGTACGAGCGCGCGCAGAGACCCCTCGCAATGCGGTGTGCGGCTCCCGTCGAGATCGCGGCGCGCGCGCGCGCGAATTTACGCTCCCGTCGGGATCGCGGCGCGCGCGCGTTCGCGACCGTCGCGCGAGGATTTACGTTCCGTAGGCGGGGCATGCCCGTCCCGGTCACGTTCGGCTTCCCGGACACGGACGGCACCGCTTGGGGGAACTACAAAGCCTACGTCGAGCTGTTTCATCCGCTCATCAGCATCCGCCAGGTCCATCCGCTCTGCCCCTTCTCGAAGCGCGAGCGGCTCGTGGTCTGGCTCTGTTCCTTGGCCTTTAATTTTCTCTGGTCCGAGGCGTTCATTCACCACGCCTTCGGCATCAAGCGCGGGCTAGAGAAGACGGACGCGGTAAGCTGGCAGGTCCGCCAGTTCCGCGCCCTCGTGAAACACGTGGGCACGATCCTCTACGCGGTGCTCATCCGCCAATTGGTCATCTGCCCCTGTCTCTACCAGCCCCTCATCGACGCCGCCTGCGACGAGTCGGCGGACCTCGACGCTGACGAGCTCCGGACCCGCGCTGATGCGCTGGTCGAGTGGAAGTGGCGCGGCGACCGCACCGCGCTCCTTCTGCTCCTCGTCCACTTCTTCTTCGTCTTCGCCGCGGTCGCTTTCGTCGCGTTCAACTCGCACGAGCACGTGACGGCGGAACGCTACGGCGAAGAGCACGTGCGCGTGCTCTACCACGTGCTCTACTCCGAGCTCGTCAACTTCGTCAGCTGGTTTATCCGCTTCACGCCCCTCTTCCTGCTTTTGTTCCCGATCCACCGCGCGCAGTGGTACCAGGGCGGGACGCTCAAGGACTACCTCCTCCTGCGGAGGTCGTGCCGCGGCGTCGTCGTGGACGCGCGTTCGCCGTGCGTGGTGCCCGAGACGACCGCGCTCCGATCCGCGCGGCTCCCCAGCCGTCTCTCGAGCATCCTCTCCTTCAGCGGCGGCGACATGGCGACTCTGCGCCACGCATAAGATAAATCGGCGTTAAAGGAGAAGCGGGGGACTTGGGGCGGGGCGGCTCCGTCGCCGCGCCGCGGCGCCGGCTTCCGGGGCGGGCGTCGGGGCGGCTCCGTCGTCGCGGCGCCGGCTTCCAGGGCGGGCGGCGCGGCCGCGGCTCCCCGCGCGCGGCGGGCCGCGCTCGGGCGCGGCGGCGGGCGGGCTCAGGCCGCGGCGACGGCCGGCGGCGCGACGACGGGCGGGGCCGCCTTGGCCGCGCCCGCGTCGACCTCGACGGGCGCGGCCTCGTCGGCCGCCGGCGCCTCGGACGGCGCCGGGAGCCCCACGGAGGGCGCGCCGTCGGACGACGCGGCGTCGAAGGAGGCGCCGTCCGCCGGTGGCTCGTCGCCGCCGAGCGTCATGACCTGGGGCGCGGCGTCGCCGCCGTCCGAAGGCTTGACGTAGAGCATGCACTCGACCTCGTCCATGCCGCGCGAGGGTGGTCGGCCCTCGGCCTTGGCCGCGCGGCGCTGCGCCTTGAGGAGACTTCGGAGTTGCGCGGACTGCTCCTTGTGCGCGGAGCGCTTCGCGGCGGAGCCCGGCGCCTTGGGCGGCTTGGCGGCATTGCTCGGCGTCGCCGCGACGGCGCCGGGCGCGACGCCGTTGGCCGCGGCGATCTTCTCGCGCCGCTTCGCGGCGAGGTCGAACTCCGCGCGCTTCGCGAGTTCGACCTTGGCCTTTTGCTCCACGGCGCCGTCGGGCTGCTCGCTCGGCGCCGCCGCGTTTGCGGCGGGCGCGGCGCCCGGGCCGACGACCTGCTCGTCGATGGCGTTGACCGGCGGCGCGGCGGCGCAGGCGGCGCGCAGCGCCTCGTCGGTGGCGACGAGCGCCTCGAGCTCCTCCCGGGTGATGGCCTCGGCGCCCGCCGGCCACTGGCCCTCGACGCTCGCCCAGGCGTCGCCCGCGAGCGCCTGCGCCTGCGCCTTGCTGAGCTGCGCGGGGAACGAGCTCGCGGCGCCCATGCTGCCCGGCGTTGCTCGTTATCAACCGCTATCGCAACAACATCGCCTCGCTCACTTCATCTCCGACGTGTTGAAGTTACTCTCGAGCACCACTGCAGCACCCGTCCGGGATCCACGAGGCAAAACGGGCGGTAACGACGACGCGGCTACGAGGCGGGGTGGAGTTCGATCTGGCGGATGGTCTCGTGGAGGCGCCGGCGCTCCTGGGAGCCGTCGCGGACCGCGTCGATCGCGCGGACGAGGAGCGGCGCGAGGACGTCGACGGCGGCGCCGTCCCAGAGGAGGACGTTGCCGTGCGGGGGCGCGCCGGTCCCGCCGGCGGCCGCGAGCTCGTCGAGGAGGAAGCGGAGCAGCGCGGGCGAGTCGAGCGCGGCCGCGTCGGGCGGGGGCAGGTCGTCGAGGTCGCGGAGCGCGGCCGCGAAGGCCTGGAAGGCGAGCTGGAGGGCCGTGAGCGCGAGGAAGCCGAGGCGCGCGCCGGGCCGCGCCGCGCGCAGCGCGGCGGCCGCCGCCGCGGCGCGCGTCGGCACGCCGAGCGGCGGCGGCCGCTCCGCCGCCGCGAGGTCGTCGAACGCGTCGCGGCCGTCGAGGGACGCCCCGTCGACGGTGGCCAGCGGCGCGCCCGGCCGCACGTAGCGCCGCGGCGCGTCGTCGCGCGGCGCGTCGTCGGGCGGCAGCAGCCGCAGGTCGCCGCGGTCGGGCGCGGCCGCGCCGCCGCCGTCGGGGAACCGCAATCCCGCGGCGTCGTCGAGCTCCAGGCGGCAGAGGCCCGACCGGTCGTCCCAGCGCTGCGCCACCAGGGTCGCCGTCGCGCCGTCGACGACGGCGACGTCGACGCGCGCGTAGGCGAGCGGCGCGTCGAAGCGCGCGCGCCGCGCGCAAATGTCCCGGAGCACCGCCGCGTCCGCGAGGCGCCAGCCGCCGCCCGGCGCCGCCCGCAGCCTCGGGCAGTTCTCCAGGAGCGCGGACACGCCCACGGGCCCCGCGCGCGTGCCCCCGAAGGCCGCGCGGCGCAGCGCCTCGTGGCGCGCGAGCGCCAAGGCGCCGACGTCGGACACGCGCGCGCACCCCTCGAGCCCCAGGCTCTCGAGGTCCGCGCAGGCGTCGGCGACGGCGACGGGGCTCAGGTCCGTGACGTTGCCGCAGCGGTTCAGCACGAGGTGGCGGAGCCTGCGCCCGAGGCCGCCGGCCACGGAGAGCACGCCCTCGTCCGTCAGTTTCCCGTGGCGGCTCAGGTCGAGCGACGTCAGGCGCCCGCCGGCGTCGCGCCGCCGCTCCAGGAACGCGAGCTCCGCGGGCAGCGACGCCGCGGCGCCGCCCGGCGCCCGCGGCGCGCAGACGCGCGCGACGGCCGCGACGCCGACGTCGCCGAGGTGCGACGCCGCGCCGCGCGCGACGACCGCGAGCGTGCCGAGCGTCGACCGCAACCCCGCGGCGAGCGCCGCGACGCCCGCGTCGCCCACGCGCGTCCCGTCGAGGCGCACGGAGCTCAGCACCTCGCAGCCCGCGGCCACGGCCGCCGCCGCGCCGTCGTCGAAGCCCCGGGCCCGGACGACCGCCAACGTCGTCAGCAGCCGGAGCCTGGGCAGGAAAAGGGTGCGAAATTCCCAACTTCAAAGGCTCCTCTCTCGGCCGGTTTCCACTCGTTTCGGCTGATTTTTGGACGAGCGATCATCTCTTGGAACGGTCTCGAAGCGTGGATGCTTTTTCCAGAACGCGCGCGCGCGGAACACTCACGTTGGGGGATCGTTGAATCACTCTTGTCCTGCCCTGGCCGGAGCCGCGGCGCGCCGATGGAGAACACGGCGCCCAGCGACCGCGACGGCCCGGGCCGCGCGGA